ATATGTAGGCATAAAGGAATATTTGTCTAGTTGGCTGTTTATATATCTGTGCGTGTATAATTTTGGAAATAACACCGTAACTCCGTTTGGTCTTTCAGGAAAATTTAAGTGCGAAACATAACTCATTCAGTGTTCAAATCAAGAACTGTGGAAATTCCAAGGCTTATCCGATACTTGGGCTTGCCATTCAGTTCATAAAGTACTGAGTCGACAACCTGGAAGCGGCTGATTCAAATCCTGCTGTAACCGAGGCTTTCATTTTACCTTCAGTCATTATTTCGTGTCAATAATACCAGTCTGCCAAAACACGGCCATGTCAGATAGCTTGATTGAATTACTCTAAAAGCCATTCCAGCAACTAGTAAAATAACCTATTAGGCTTCTTTATCTTATGGAAAAAAATACTATCCCAACTGAAATAAGGAAAGCTTATTGGTCAAACTGGTGGTTTTTAGGGTGGCTTATTGAGTCTTACTGGTAAAACTTGTTTCCAACATCTTTTAGCGAAAATTAACTGTCAAAAAAGAAACCTTCTAGCCTCGATTAGTAGAAGAAATAAGTAGGCTGTAGAGTTGACTCTCCAATGCGCCTTCCAATAAAATTCAACATTAAAAAAGTAGTATAAAAAATAGTTAAAAAGTTAACACCTGGAATTTCAATTATTTCCCATAAGTGACGCTCAAGCAAACCACTGATACCTTCTGGTCCACTGAAACGTGTTTAGTGAAGTTAATGAAAGCCAGCGTTTCTATCCTCCTAATGTGCGCATTTTAAAAAATCCATAAACGTGGGGGGATCTAAAGTACATATTGATTGGGCACTGAAAAGTTAACAATTTCTATCTACCATTTCATAATGTGGTGATTAAGCCGGGAGACTCATCATAGTGAAGTATTATGATTAATATTGAGTAGTGGGAGGTAGCCGATAGAAGTCCCTAGGCTTAAGTTTCATGACTGTTAGCACTTATCAACAAAGCGTGTTTGCAGCTTTGAGGAAAAGGATGTCTTCTTCAGTATCTGAACCGGCTACAATTCCTCAGCTTGGTACTCATACAAAGCCAGAAAACCGTTCAAAAAGTAGTCTCCAAAAGTCCACCAAGAAATAAGGGAGAGAAGCTCAACATCAATTTGTGCCAAGTCAGTCTGAGAAGGAACCAGTGTCCAGTTTCAGTTCAAGGAAAGTTAGGTCACGTTTGTGACTTCAGTGAATAGAGGTCATCATAAACGGTACTTTCTCTGATTTATAGCTGATACAGATGCAGCGTTCAGTAAAGTGGTGGGTGCGTTTACACTTTATATTACCTTGATTGTCATCTACTAATTTACATGTATTTGTAAGGCAGATACCTTGAAATGATAGATGGTGATGTTTCACTCTCTGCATTGAACCCATATCAGATAAACCATGACTCAAGGAAGGAAGCAACTTCAGTGCAAGTTATTTCTATCGAGATACTTACTTCTTTATGAACAGCTCATTCATTTCCTGGGATTTAAACTTTCAAATGATATACACTAAACCTTCTTCTGATTCTATCTTCTACTTCTTATTCTGAATTCGTTAAATCTACACTTATAGGAGTGCCTGGAGAGATAGTACTGAGAATGGTAGGCAGCAGGAACATTTCGTCCGACCTGAGGCTCGTCAGCTAGACATATACAGATTTCGCTTAGTGTTAGATTTCATAAGATGTAACACTTATACTTCATTTACTCATCATTATTTGACAATTATTTCAATTTCGGTAAAGATACATTAAACTAATCAACGAAGAAAACCAGGAAAAATGTGTCACGCAATATGCATCATTCCTTACACACTACCGTTACTCCGCATTCTTCAATTACCTAGGATGAAGCTGTTGTTAATTGGATAAAACTCGATTGAAAAAGTGAATAGGACACTTTAATATGAATAGAAACGAAGAAATAGCAAAGTAGTTGATAGAAAGAATGCCGTAACTACTTCTGTCTGTTTGCTTTCAATGACTTTTTCTGGCGTGATCATCATCAGTTTACTTCTTCCTCTTCTTTTTGTGTGCATACATACCTATCTGTGTATGTATACAGTTCACATGATACCCACAAACGCATATTCACCTCTATTTTATTCAACATATTTCTTTCTTTTTTTCATTGAAAATACTTTCTCGTCGATTGCGATGTTTAACGCCTTTGAGACACGCAAAGATTTATGAGTCATTTTGTGAATAGATAAATGTTTTAAGACAAAAAAATCAATAGGCTGATTTACATTAATTACAAAGATGCCTCTAGGAATGAGTATAGTTTCAGTGTGCCAACAGCAACTGATCAACTTGATCTGGTATGACAGAGAAGGGGAAATTACAACCATGAATAATGAAAAATAATACTGTTGGTACAATAAATGGTACGGTCACTCATTAGCCTACTGGATAACTCCGTTGTCTTTGAAGTTATAGATAAAGGGTTCAAGACTCAGTTAAAACGTTACTGAAATACGATGCAGGTTCGTCCAGTCGATGAGTCGAAACAAGGACAAAAATACGTCTCAAACTCTACTTCTTAGATAATTCAAGGGCCACTAGAGCCTTGTGTTCGTCTCCATACTTATCTAAGACGTAGAAATATAGCCACCTGAGTTCTGACAAGTTCCCTTCTTATCATCAGATTCATACAGGTTAGTTACATATATACGTTATATTACAGTGAGACAAACGGATTTCTAACAAAAATTACTGTGTCAGCAGAAGGCCTATTGATGTCAAAGAACTTTCGAACTGAAGCTGACATATAAAAAAAATTTAGTAGGACATGGAAATCATAAGACGGTTGTCTCATACTACTCGTTAACTTGTCAACAGCATACATCTGTAATTCCCATTGGTGTTAAACCCTAAAAATGTTTAGTTCCCGTTGTTCATTTTTATAACATCTAATCTGGTCCCTAACATAATTTAGTAAATCTATGTGGCTAGTCAGTGATTCAAATATGAATATATTTTTGGCGTCACTGATTTTCAACCGATATTCCACTGATGATGAATAAATGATAATAAAAACTGCCTATTTATAGTAAAAACAGAATAAAACTTGACGTTAATCAATCACCATAGGATATAAGTACACCTTACTAAACAGGAACTATTTGTTTATTTTTATTGTTAAAGAACATTTGGATGAAAAAACATAATACTGTAACAGCAACTGCTTATAAAGTACAAACATTTCTCTGCCAGTAACTGTATGATACTAGCGACGGTAGTGATAATGGAAAGGTCAGCCTTCTTGTTTGCACTGCCGACAAATGATAGACATTTCATTATCACTATATCAGTGTGTGTGTGTGTGTGTGCATATCCACGATAGGTAGGATAAGATGGCTTACACCTGAAAAACTTACATAAATAAATCCATTTGAAGTAGCTATATCATGACGCTATCTTGATGATAAGCTATGATCATCCGAATATTTACAAAATTTCATGTGTCAATTTACACACAAACATACACTTTCGTGGAATACAGAATATCAAAACATTCTACAAAATTTATTCCCTGTCTCTTCGTTTGACAGCAGTTGGCTGTTATTGCTTTTATCAATCCTGCCAATTTATCAATTCATCAAAGCTACTTATCAAAGATTTTAAAGGCTTCAGATGAATTTTAACAATATGAAAACAATTGTGGATCAAAGTTACTTTTTATCTGCTGAGCTACAATAAGTCAGTTATTCACCTCCTCATAGTTTCATGTTATTTAGCGATCAGATTTGTGTCAATCTCATTTATTCAACAAGTTCACAATCCTATGTGCTTGCTGATTGCTTCTAGCCAAAGAATAGGCCCATATCAATGCAATCGAAGTATAATGTACCACAAATTTCTTTTACCTCTGTTATTTCTTGATTTATACATTTTCGCTTTTGACGAAGGAATATCACAATAATATGGACACTTGATTGAAGAAGAAAAGATTATCAGTCAAAATCCTCCGAAAAATTTTGCTCTTTTCCTCATATGATCAAAAAATGTTCCAAAGAAAGATAGAGAGAGAATAATGTCATAGATGAGTGTTTTATGTTTGTTTGTCTAAGCTTTTGAAATTGTTTTGGAAGGTATTCAAAATATTGGTGGGATTTAGCAAGTGGCTCTGTAAAGCACCAGACATAAATATTAATGCCGATCATATTTTAAGTTTATAGTGAAACTTATTGATAGTGCTATTGCATGTATTACACCGTCGTTGATTGGACCGAGTTGATCAGTCACTAACCATTATTACCACACATATTTAAAACATAGGCAATGTCAAGGCATCCTCACAGGAGCCCATATGCCAACAGACTGATCAATTAGGTTCAATCAGCGACGGTATAATACAAGCAATAGCACTAAAACTATACCCGTCGCACGAGAAGTGGCTATCGTGGCTCGATGGTGTAGTGGATAACACTCTCGCGTTTGAAGCGATCACTCTGAAGTCCGAATCCAGGTGGGAACAACATCACTCACTGGAAGGCAGGCACATCCAGCTGACGAGTCTCAAATAGGACGAAATGCGTACCCCGGATTTCACTGCTAGCCCCTACCCATCATTACTATGCATAATTAAAGCATATTGACACTAAAAATATTGGATCTTGCAAGAAATATATTCTTTGTCTCACTTTATTTCTTGGTGAGACTGTATATCAGTAGTTTGGATGACTGGTAATGACGGCCATTCAGAACCATCTATGATTCAAGTAAAGTTAAGCTATGGTCAGTAGATGGATCTTGTAATGTTAATTCTGTTGAAATGTACGTCGTATGATTAATATTTTAAGCAGTTTGTTAAGTATGTGATCCCCCACCACCACCACCACCACCCTCTGAAAATATTTGGTACCAGACAACCATGAGGTTCACTCATAAGCCCCTATATATGGATTATTTGTTCATGCTTCAAACTGTAAATGGATCAAAGAGGGGAGACAACAGCACCAAAATAAAGATTAGGCTTTCGGTGACTCACTTTTGATCGTCCAACCATTCCGGACGATGAGGAAGATGACAATGCGTCTGCAGATAATTGATGCTGACCAAAAGTGGTTAAATTGGAACCACTATGTGCGCCTAGTATATGTCCACTAAAACTTTGTGAACTGTTAAAATTTCCGGATACACTGGGTGGGTGATTTGAATAAGGTGAGCCAAGATGTGGTGGTCTAATATCAGATCCTAGATCAACTCCACCAAACCCCGACTGATTTGAATACATCCCTGGATAATTAGAATGACTACCATGGTGTGAATGATGTTGTTGCTGCTGTTGTTGTTGTTGCTGTTGTTGGGCATAATAATTTGAGGAGTCTGAAAAACCAGGTCCTGGGGAATTATGTGGATTCGGGTTGTATCGTGGATCACCAAACATTGAGTGAAATGAAACATTGGATGAAGGAAGATTTGAGCAGGGATACATACCACCCAATCCGAGTAGTCCACCCATCTGTGATACAGATGCTGCTGCAGCTACTGCTGCATATGCAGCGGCTGGGTCCCCTCGAAATCCTGGATTACTGGCATAATTTGGAACACCAGGGTGAGGCATTGAATGCTGCATACCAATCCCACCAGATTCATCAACTAAACTATTAAACATGCCTGCTGATCCATGATGTGAACCAGAGAGGTTAGGATGCTGTAATCCACCAGTAGCTAGTGTATTTGAACCCATCGTAGATTGACTAACTGAACAATTTGCAGGTTGAGGACTGTTGCCTGAACCAGTCGATCCAGCTGAATCCCGATCTTCAATCACCAAGTCTATAGGCATTTTACCTCGTAAACATGTTATGTAACGAGAACAGAAATTATCACAGAGTTCATGCACCTATAAATGAGTGAAAAATACAAAACCACAAGATAAAAGATGTTTAAGCTAAAAGATTAAGCTTGACTAAGTATAATGTAAGATGGTATACTTCAGATTCTCTATAAGAAATAACTCGGAAAGCATTCAAACACAGAGCTACAATTTTAGCTATGGTAACCTGATCTACGGAATGATCAACTGTCTGTTTAGTTTTCACCATGATGTGGATCAGTAATTCACTGTCTCAACCAATCAACTTTCAAATAACGAGTCTTTGGATTCAATCGTGTCCAAGTTACTTAGTCCTGGGTGACCAGATAGTATCATAAACCCTTACAGAATAAGTGTAGCTAATAACCCAGTCAATAAACATCTGCACCGAATTGGATTGTATTAGTTTCATTGCAAATCAGTGCCATTCAATCAATTTATTCCTGAACCTCAGACTATGATTAAATATATAATCTTCAGCTCCGGAGATGAACTGTTCGTTATGATTTCAATTTGGTATTCATCACGGACTGACATCAGTTGGGAAGCTGTTGAAAACCTGGGAGCACTAAACAGCCATTTTGTTCTTGTATCAGACTCTCTAGCATTATGCACTCTCCCTCCCCCTTCAGAGATCGGGATCAAGACCTGCAGGTCCAACGGTTATCAAGTTACCATTGAGCCAATGGATCGAAATCCAATGGTCCACAATTTCTTACTTGTATGAGTTCACGATATAGCACTTTGTGAGGTACGTTAGATTTGATTTCAACAGACTTGCTTCACTCCCGCCCCGCCCCGCCCCACCTCCAACTATCTATCAATTTTAGACTAATTACCTTAGATATTCACATGAATCCCAACGCCGACCACATGAGGACTCTCAGTCTTTGAAAACAACATGGAAGCAACTATTTTAAATAAACTGCATATTAGGTACTGACCGTATTTTCAATGAATGATAACTTTTTCAAAGTACGGTAATTTTATCATTCATGGACAGAAAAATTGAATAATCTGTACTGGGGGTAAGATGTGACGATATACTTAGTATGAAGATGATAATGATAAATGGACGGTTGCTTGTCGCACATTCATAGGACAGTCGGAGGAGAAATTTCACAAATGAGGCGAAATCTGTACCTTATTAGGACAGATGACAAGTCATATAATTGGTGGTTCAGTGGCTGTTATTTAGAATTGCTCCAGTGCGCATGATTACTCCACAACTTCACTCAATATCCCCATCATCACTATATATATATATATATATATATATATATATATATATATATATATATATATATATATATATATATATATATATATATATATATATATATATCCATCTGCCAACCAAGCCTATCAGAGACAATCTAACCAAGAATATCACCTTTCTTACTGATTATGTAATCTCATTTATTTGCTGTGGCTTTTTATCCAGTGAATCATTAAAAATGAATTAAGATACTAAAGACATTTACACATCAAACAGAGAAAAAAAACAAGGAACAGACAATAAATAAATAACACTACATATGATAACTGCTTACCTTCTCAATTTCGAGAAGATGAAATCGGAGAACTTGAATGGCTTGAATTATCTATATTCATAGAAAGATAACGAGAAAGAGAAAGGTGGAAAAACACAAGAGTGAAAACCGAGAAAAATATCCAAAATGTTTATTTTTCATTCTCACACCAAGCACCGAAAGAGAGAGAGAGAGAATAATAACGCAAAAGCGCACAAATGTCCTTAGTTAAAAAATTGTCTAAATTAGGATACATATGATATATGGCACTTCAAAAACTCTCATATCTCTCATTGACCTGTTCTGTGCTTTCAGTACAACTTTGTCGTGTATATCGGATTACCAACGTTCTATGCAAACATACACATGCCAAGATTTTTAGTTATCGAATCAGTGTATTGATGAAATTTGATGGAATTGAGTGACCCACAAAAATGTATTTCTCATTTTCTGTCTCCATCTTTCTCATTATAGTTCTTATCGCTGTTATCCACAGCATGGGTTGAGATTTGTAACACATGAGCGCGAGCACTCACCTGTGCATACATACACGCATACTACACATGCACATGTAATGTCTAGTTTATGAGCAGCAAGTGAGAAAAGAATTGAGTGATTATTGTACTAAAAAAACCTATGACCAAAATTAAATTTAAATGACTTTTCAAATTCATTGTGTTTAATTTTTCTCGTTGGTGTAATGAAAAACAAACAAAGAACATACTGGACTGAATGTAAGTTTGAAATTTTATTAGGGCGCCAAAAAAGGATAGAAAACTAGTTCTTTATATGATCAAAACTTAGAAAAGTCGTCATTTAAAAGGCATGTGACTTATCGTTATGCGCTTAATGCACAGTGTGAACATACAACATTTTAAGTTCTTCTCTGTTAATCCAAGAGATCATTGTAACATGTTATATTCTTCAGCTAAGGTGGTGGGTGACGCATAGGTGGTTGGCTTACAATAAAGTTCCAAGTCGTGACTATATTGCCTACAGTTAGTGTCACAGAGCAAAAGCACTTAGACGTTTTGGTAGTTCACAAGTAGATTGATTCTTTTTAGAAAGTTGGATGGAAGTATACAGTATCAGTTTGGCAGAGTTAATTGACCATTTAGTTCGTCATCGTATCAATCAGTTTTGAACCTAACTAATTACTTGTCAGTGACAGAAAATAAGGTTTCATTAAGATCTTATTTTACTACCGGAAGGTTTATTAAGTGCTGCAACACTCTGGTGATATCTCAGTTCTTCTGTTACTTGAAGAAGGCTTCACTTCTTTGAGATATCCTTCAGGACACTTGTTGTACTGTTACTTCTACTCCTTTTCAACATCATCATCATCACCATCGTCATGGGTTTTGTCCACTTAGTTTCGACTTTTTGTGGTTGATACTTGTAAAGATTCTTTTGCATTCTTCATTTCGTGGTTGGTGAATGAACATATCTATATACTTAATTCTGACAATTTGTCAAGCTAAGAAACGGTTTGAGGGAGTTTCTCTTTATAATCGACAACTTAACTCATTTAATCTCACCTTGAAGACTGTCTTTAAACCGATCAATTATTCAACAGCCACTTAGCTAAACAAAACTAATCGTAGTAGTGTATTGATTTCACAATGCTCGCGACTGTCTTTCATTTTACTGATAAATGACTGATCATTATGCATAAATATTTCGTAATAAAGGAATAGTAACTAATGGCTAAGAATAGTTCAGTAGATGGGCAATTATGTGCCTGGACATGGATGGAGAGGTCTTAAGCATAGAAAATAAATACAAACTCACCAGGGAATCTAATTCAGGATCACTGGTACGGATAGTTTTTTGGGAGTTGACCAACTGTGCAGAATAAGACAAAAAAATAAAAATCAGAAATTATCTGGTTTATTCCCTATAGATGAAATGATTATGTCTAAAAATTAGTTTAACAAAAAAAATATTGATGCAAATAAATTGTCCAGTAAGAAATATCATCTTTATATGTCAAGAATAGACATCGTAATCGACATACCTTAACATAGTGATCTAAATATAAAAGGATGATGAAACTGTACAAAATACAACCATGGGGTTTCAGAGCATACACTAAATCCATGGCAGTAACTATCTTCCGCTTGGCATGGGGAATGCGGATGTCACGAATCCTGTTTTCCAGAAACATATTCAGGATACCGTGAGTTTCAGAAGTTCTCAGGTTACCAGTTGGGTGTTATGCCAAGTGTCACCATCATTATGATGATTTCTGCTTTTGAGTAAAACAATTCAAGAGTCACCTCTACTTACTAAACAAAGTTACCTAAAAGTATTTAACATTCAACTTAACGGTAATACATTTACAAACAATAGTGAATAGAAATATAAAAAACAGTTGTTTAGTCTTGTGGTTTTACTCAAAATTCAGTCTAACTCATTCTCATCTCTGGGGATTCAGACTGAAGAATAAAAATTGTATTTTAATGGAAATAAATAACGTGAAATATTAAATTTAGTGTGATCTCTAGTAGACATGGAGTTTCAAATATACACAGCTGAAAACAGAAGAACGTCAGTGATGTACAAAACTGAGAAGACAAGAATACTGTTCAGAATTTAAGAAAGAAGCTTTACTATCCAGTGATGTCGATGAAAGATAGGCAACGAAAGAAAATTCATCAGTAGAAAAAGAATTCCTTTTGATTTAACCACTTTCAAAGCACTAAATTTAACACGAATCAAGAAGCTCATCAAATTCCAACTTAGTAAATGAATAATAACGTTCTCTCTGCGCCACCTGATCCTCTTGTTGTCACTTCACATTGATGAAGAAAGAATACCGAATCCGAAGGAAAGAGATATCTCGCAGTCCCTGGCTCTCAAAGCTTCTCCAAATGATACCACTCCGCGGAGAAAAATGTTCAGAAATCCAGAAACGCTTGTCTAGTGATTATTTGATTGCGTATTATCCATCTCATTGATAGATAGGCAGTCACAAGAATTAGAACGATTTTGATTGAAATATCTAAGTGGGAAAATGTATAAAATTCGAAGCAATTTTTTATATATCCATGCTTATAGATATCTACTCCTCTAGCCCAAAAGATACATTCCAACTCCATTCTTTTATCCTCATCTCCTATTTTGCTTTATTGATATTGTTCTCTTTCTTCTCTTATCTCGATTATTTATGTCAAGCAGATGTGGACCAATTTTGAATCACATTGACTTGTTCTTTTTATCTCTTTCCCATCTCAATTTTGCTCTCTAAATCCTGTGAAGTATGCGCAATGAGCGGCATGTATATGCATATGCATATGCGTGCGCTCATACACATGTGTGTGTGCATGTGAATATTTAATTGCGAATATATGGGGAAACAAGCTACAGAATCAAACTAACAACTCAGGCTATATATATATATATATATATATATATATATATATATATATATATATATATATATATATATTGCTTTATAGAGCAAAGAAAATGGATACTTCGGTTGTATTTTTATGCGTCAGATAGAGTATGTTCTGCTATCATTTATATGCTTTCTGGCTGCATAAGCTGTGGGCCCAGTTTTAGACTGTTCCAAATAGCGGACCATTTCAAATATGAAATGAAATCAGTTTCAGGAATTATTTAAAAATCTAAACTACATATAACCATCTGAAATTTTGAATATTACGCATGATTAGGCATGATAAAATGAACATTGATCCATTTAATATGATGTTTGAAGGTCATTTCTATGGGAAGAAACGGGATAGTACAGATGAATGGCTAACTGTATTTGGAACAACAACAACTACTACTCTGTTGTGGATAGACTACATGAATTTTAGGTTAGGTGAAAAGGGCACTATCACTGCAGAGTGGATTGAATAGTTTTCGGTTTCTTGATCAAGTACCAATACTCGCAATGGAGTAACATCATTTATTATAGACAGAGAAGCTACCCTAGAATTTAGGTGAATTGAGACTAAGTTGGAAGAAAGATAAGAGTAAATGGAGTAGAATGTAGCATCAATCCAAGCATTCTATGACTGTTGTTTAGAGCTGACTGATTGGGATCCTTTAGATACTGGGAATTCGTGGCTGGAGACTGAATGCTACACCCAAAATTTTATTGAAGCATCATATTGCTATTCACGAGTGTGTTCTCTTTTACCATTTTCATTCATTTTGATATCACTCTCGCTTTCTGAGTGATGAGAAATGTGATAACATGGACTAGTGCATTCTTTTGTAAAGCTTTGTGTTCTATTTAATTATCTTTTAGTAACTAGGGCTAAATCTTCAACTCCACCAAAGTATTGCACCACACAGGTGACTGAATACACTTCATTCATTGAATACAGAGCTGGTAGAAAAGATGGGACCAGGCCAGTGGTCAGTAATGAATTCAGTTACATAATGACGTTATGTACTTGTGCCACCCAAGTGAGAAAGTTCCCCACCACCACACACACACTGCGGTACTTTAAAGAGTAGATTCAAGTTTGTTAGGAGGAGATAGGAAGAGATACTAGGTTTTATGGTTCCTCAGATCTAAGATAGATTTTCCTAGTGAATACCAGGGAAAATTATCACCTCATAAATCTTTGATTTTTGGAGAGAACGATGATACTTCATTAATTTATCTAGTGACTTCTATATGTATTCATAGGATAAAAGTTTAACTTTTTAAATGTAGGAGAGTTGACTGTACAAAATACCAACACAGAAGAGTATAGAGATCTCCTCTATTTATTAATTAAAACTTTCTACAGCTGTTTACTGTACTCTTCACCCTTTTTTGAATTGGATAAACATTAAGTTAGTTTCTCATCCAAATTAATGTGTACAACTATTGATTATGAAAGTAAAAGCCACCAAAACTGAGAATACACTCACTACTGCTATTATTCTTGCATATTTGTGTAAGTAGGGATAAGATATGAAGAACAAAAAGACAGTAGACAAAGGCAGAAGAGATACCTTGGTTGATGGAATAGGTTAAAGGGGCAGCGGATAGTTTTATGAAGTTCGTCTGTCAGTTAAGTGGTGATAATGCACATTTTGGAATAATAACTCATCAGCCTAACATTCTTCTTTTCATTGTATGTGCCACTGATTAACAGAAACTATCTAACAGTCAGCTTCATTATAATTGAGGGAATTATCTTAATAACCTCTGATCACCTGAAAATTCGGTTTAGTCAATGTTTTCTTATGGTAACAGGCATCTCAGCCATATTAACATACTCGTCTATCGTGATTCATCATCCATCTTTATACATTGAACAGCGTAATGTGATCAGTTAGATCAGTTAAACAGTATTGTGGGACATTGTATTCTACCGAACTCAAACATACCTTCAAACTTGAGATGACTCTTATGCACCCTGGTGCCTGTTCAGTTAACGTAGTCACAGTGGTCACCATAAGGTCACTGGAGTAGAAACTGACTTACAGGCATTAAGTTCCAATATTCTTGAACTATTCAGTTTAGTGTCATGGCAATTTTCAAAAGATTGTAACATAAAACATCACAGGCAAACAAAAAACGTTCGTCAAATCTATCCGCAAGTATTCTAATCAAATAACAACTCACCTCTTTAGCAAATACAATGATATCCTCATTAAATGATTCAGACGACCATACCTCCATGTTCCCAGTATTTGCATTACCGGTTGCTGAAGCTGCTGCTGCTGCAGCTGCTGAACTCATCGATATCGGATCACGAGGTGTACATGTGGCCAATTCACATTTTTCAAAAATTAAAGCCAATAAAGGAAATAATGGATGCCTGAAAAGGAAAGAAATCTTACGTATACATCAAAATTTATTTTCAAAACGTAACAGTCTTGAAGTACTACTCAAATAGACAATTCAGTAGTTTGAAAAATATATATATATCAGCACAAATTATAGTGCATGTTACTATCACCCTTGTGGTACTCTTCCATTACACTTTTAGGGATGGTTGGCTTCAGTTTATCGGGTCAGGCTAGCGTATGTCTATGCTTAGATGTGAATACTACTAGTACTATTACTACTGTAAAAGTTAAGAATACATATACATAAGCCTAGATTAGTTCTACTTGGGTAGATTGGTGGAATTAACTTTCATTAATTTCTTAGTCAGCAACAATGCTTAAACACCGATATGATTTATGCTCTGAAGTAGAAATTTAAAGTTTGCTCATCTGTTTAAAGTAATAGTTGTGTTTCACTTTTTTTGTTTTAACCGATAACTTGTTTTACTACCGCGTTTTATTGTTCATTTGTGTTCATGGCTTGTTGTGTCGTTGCTCATATGTACACATGTCTGTGTGTACATGTGTATCAATGTCTAGATATGAGCCCATTTATTGTATAGGCTGATAGATAAATTAGAACGATAAGAATGATCAGTTTAGTAGAAAGAAGAGTGAACAGCTAAGTGAATAACACAACACATCAGATATGCAGATAACACAAATAGCGCGAAAAATAACATCATCTTCATCATTATGAAAGCTGGCAGTGAATTGGTAAAATGAGAAAATATAAAACAGAAAAATATGCATAGGCATGCATATGAACACACGTGATGTACACATATATCATAAATTACAAATCAACTTTTCTCCCATATTTGTGCTATCATTGTCTAGAGAGAACGTGTTGTTCAACAATAATGCTTGTTACTTACTACCGGTATATTGGCTAATCTAATATATTTGTATACACATATATGTAGATATTGGAAAAGGCTGATTAAAGTTTTCATTTTCACTGATAGATTCAATCATAGTTACTTCAGATAGTATACTTGTGATAACTAGAAAACTATTTTTGATGTAAAACATTCGATTTAGCCAAGGGGATTTGATTTATCTGATACATCTGATCACATGTAGATACATACAATTACACAGATGTATAATCTTCTAGCCACCCACTCATCTGCACCCGCAAGCATACACAAATATATATGCACAAACAGAAAATACAAAATAATTTCTTACATTTTTTTGATGCTTCATTTACCTTAGTTACTCTCTAGTCTTCTTTTATTGTTTGTAACTATAACATTCTTTCAAGCAATAAACTGTTATTGATTGAACACTTTGAGAAAACCTTAGTTCTATAGACTGATAAGTATATTTGGAAAAATATCCAGACCGTTGTAGGACTCAAAGTCTACCAGTTTAAATGTTGTGTCGACTCGTTTCTGCAACTTTGGTCGTCAACCTCTTATGGGCAAAATATTTCGAACAATCAAATTTTCAACATCGTTATTATAAAAGGTTAGCTTAACTGGAAATTAGCATTTCGGGGTACTTAACCTTAACTCTAACACATCACACGTCATCATACTTTTAGACCATCAGAGGGGCTCTAAACACTAGCTATGAACTTTCACTAAAATCGTTTTACCTTGGTATTTATTTAGCTTAGCATTCTGAAGGGGTATCCATTCAATGGGAAATTCTTCAGCGTATTTAGTCGATTTTGTATCATGCTTGTGATCAGTTGGTGAATAGTTGTACATGATATACATGCGGATGACACTTATCTACCTTTTTCCTTACTTTAATATCTCTTTGTGAATATTTTATTATCAGGCTTGTTAAAGTCGTTAGTACTAACTTCACGAAGTGAGGTATGTTCAGAGGTCACGCCAACAGTGAGTTGGTTAGTTTCTTCGTTGACATGGAATGTTGACTGATTTTGCTGATGCCATCAAGCCTATTCATGAAATGTCTACCATGAAAGATCAAAGTTGCATTCGGCTGAGGTGCTAAATATCGGGTATGCCATTCATTGCTTTGATGTTACTAGAATGTTCTTATACCACCTATGGGATGCACTCACTTTAAATGATAAAGTGTTTGGTTTCAAATTGTATGTACCAATAAGCAACAACTGGTACCGGTTGCATAAGAGACGGCTATCGTGCCCCAGTAACCTAGTAAATAACGTTTCGCGTCTGAAACAATGTGCACTATGTTCAAGTCTCAGTGGGATGCAAATACGTCCAGCTGACGAGTCCCCAAATGGACGAGACGTGCGTTTTGGATTCCACTACTAGCCACCAAATAGACTTCACAACAATGAATAATGTCCAGGCAGTAATCGAGGTATTCGTTTAAGAGCCCATTTCCCAATACAGGTGGAATAAATTGGCCCAGTATAACAATAGGAAATTGCAAGCATCAGTAAACAATGTATGGATTACTGTTTAAAAGTGTATATTGACTTTAAAGTTTCCAACCCATTGGACTTTAAGTCATCAGCGGTTATTAAATGTTGTTCTTGAACAATTTAGCATACAATGTCTACTGTTTACTGTCTACCTAAAACCAGTATCCAACCGTTGCATTCCGTTCTTATCTACTAGACCTTTCAACGCTATCTAGTATCAAAATACACCGAAGATTCATCTGCTAACTGACTGAAAATAAAGTGACAGTTGTCTTTACAGTTAGCAATAGTAGCATGAATACCCGTGACATAAACAGCAGTAGGAAACAAACCTAGGATAAAGGATAAGGAGACAGATATTCAACAATGATCTCTCTTATCTAACATTCAGAAACCGATAGGCCTTTGTCTCAAACCCGTATATAGTCCACATTTCCATACAACTCTCATGATCATTTTCACTATCTTGCCGCTCAGATACTCAAAACACCTGTACATGTTTACACATCAACAGTAGAGCAATAAATTTTCCGCAATGACAACAATATACCAGAGTATGGTTTAACCATTCATATAAAGGACACACAAGTATACATGTCACACTTTTAAAAGCGCATGTCACCATTTCAATTTCTTTTTTGGTACAATTAATATCATATCATTAATTGTTTCATTGATCAGTTAACTTTTTGACTAGTTATTTCAATAAATAATTAAAGTAAATGGATTTAGGTGAGTATTTCATCTTTCTTTTACTTTCTCGATAAAATCATTACTACATAAGTGTAGAATACGCACACTAAGTGATCAAAATAAAAGTGCAAAATCATCACTGTCATCCTTATCGTTGGCGTCATCAAATGTCAATATGACGACTTGTGCTGTCATTTCCCATTAGTGCATGTATATAAAGTGTTGGATCGTCAAACAATTAGCAGCTTTAAGTAGTAGTAGTAGTAGTAGTAGTAGTAGTAGTAGTAGTAGTAGTAGTAGTAGTAGTAGTAGTAGTAGTAGTAGTAGTAGTGCAGTATTCTACTGACTATCCCAGCTGATCTAATTGCTAACCACATTTCAGTTTCACTGAAGTCACCTCGCTTTTAGCCAGATATGAATAATAGTTACACAGCTATTTGTTCTTCAAAATACTAGCTGTCGAGTCACATCCCCTTGTGCAAATCGAAAAAGCCGATCTAAACTAAACAAGAAAGTAATTTTCCAGACCATCTAAGATAAACTTGTTGGGCAAACTGATATTTATTGAAATATATGGTAATTGATAAAAAGCTGCTCAGTATGGAATAAAACTCAGTAATCCTTTCAATTCTTCGCCTAATCAGTATACTTTTCTGCTATTTCCTCAGATGAAAGTTTCAAGGTATGACCACAACAAGAGGAAAATAATTTCATCATTGCAGTGGAACATCAGTAAATCTTTTCATACCAGGTCTAATTACTTCAGCTGATGTATCTCACTGATAAGCACAGACAGTGGGACATGAATGGGGGGGGGGGGTAGAGAAAGTGGAAAAAGATGAAAAAAGGAAGGAAACGACTCCAGTTATCAACCGAAACAGTGAAATGGTACAGAATTTTTTCAGTAAAAAGAAAAAGTAGAAACAAAACAACTGAATGAACATGAAATATAAAACTTGGGAAATATTCCTAATAAATACATAAGATTATATAGCTTAACTAACATTGAAAGATACATTAATTTGATACATTGATACATTGATAGGATAATCTATTGTAACCAGTAGAAATAAGCCGGTAGGTTTGTCTTAGTGTGTATTTCTGTTTGGATGTGCACTTTGAAGTATTCTAACTGGATTAGAATATTGATCCACCAACCAGATTATAAGAAATAGGCGTTGGACACAGTGGCTGAATGGTTAATGAGTTCAACTTGAAACTTTTAAGTCCTGAGTTCGACCCCTGACAGAGTCGTGGGTGCATACTGTTGAGGAGTCCCATACTAGGTCGAAACACCTATCCAGTGTTCCCAGGTTTCCAGTGGTTGTCCAACTGATGTCAGTCCTTGAAGATTATTAAGGATTCCTTTCCAATTTGTACCGAACTATATATCTTAATCTTGTCAGTTTGTCCTCATTATTAGCTCAAAGATGAAAGCGTCTTATCTGAATTACTTGAAATTTTGATCAGCTATTTCTGACTACATAATAGCTAAATGAAAATGGATATGAAGTTCCATGGAATAGCTTAGTGATTCCAATCCTTTTTCACCCTTTTAGTGGAATACTGATTTATCCATTTCAGATCAGAATCACGCGTCTCTGATTTTGAAATAAATCTGATGGATTCAGTCAAATACTCATCAATCAAATGTTTACATTATCCCGCTAGTAAAACCTAAAAATCGATGTGTGCGGTTACAAAACTATTTTAGTCATTCAGTAGTGTATTGGAAATCTTCTTAATTACTCCAGAGTAAACTTTTTATGGGGACCGTAATAAACAGAGTAATGAATAGTCAACATATCTGTATACACAGAGATATGGCAATTTGATAGCAGCTGGTGCCTTGACGAATTCGTCTAAACCAATTCATTAATTATTCAATATAAATTCGTTATTCTGCAGTTTGGAATTGTGCTC